TGCTTAATTTTTACAATGGGTGTTTTGGTACAGCATAATTACAGTGGTTTGTTGAGAGTTAATGGCTGGTCAACTTAGGCAACTAATGTTATCATATATTTTATATATAATAATATAACCAATCAAGTGACATTTTTGGGCTCAACATGGGGCAGACGCCTTATGTCAATTTCTTTTTAGGACAATCATAACCAAATGTCAGAAGATTGGAACTTTTTGCGTTGAACAGTCAGAAATCAATTTTTTATCCCCTGTGATATAATTTGTCTGGTTGTTGTTTTTTCCTATTAATTATCCTCTTTAATAAATAGATATATTCTTTATGGTATTCAAGTCATAAGTGGCCTCTTTTTTTCTTTTTTTTGGCTGCAAATTTTGTCTAACATAACTAATTCTGAGGAGTAGTAGAGGTTTCTTAGAGTTTAGGCTTGTTTTTTCATTGACAATATATATATTGTTCATAATCACATGTTTACAGAGGTACAACAAGAAGGCATGCCAATGAAGTAATTTAAAGGCAATGGATGTGAACATGGCAGACAAAGACTAACATCCCTTATCCATCCTAAAAGAACCGTTTTGCTTCATACACAAGCATTTAAGATAATTAATTACCAAAGCACAAGTACCAACCTGAGGAATTGACCTCTCCATCTCCTTCGAGTGCTCCACATAAACAGAACAGCCTTAGCAAAAAGCCATGGATGAAAATAGTCTAATTAATTAAGCTTCTGCCTCCTCATCTACCATATATATATATATATATATTTATTTATTTTAATTATAGAATTGGAGTTAATCATCTCTTATTTCTTATCTCACTTCATTTACATGTTACATGATTTAAATTCAAGACTTTTTATTTTTAACAAAAAGAGATAAATATTAAATTATTTAAGTCGTTGATTCTCATATTTCATATATTAAATCTCAACAAATTACAAAATATAAGATAATTTATTTCTAATACATAAAATGTTAGTTATTTAAAAATATAAAAATTTAAATCTTTTAAAATTAATAAATACAAATTCAATTAAATTCCCGTTAATTATTGAATAACTTGCGCTAAGAAGAGATAGCAACGTAAAGTTGATAATTACTTAGGTTTTTTTTTTTTAAATGAAAAAGATTATTTTTATTGATGCTCAGAGGTGTACAATTTCGACAAACCACCATTGCGTTTTCAACATAATTACGCAA